TTTGCCCCGATCGTTGGGCTGAAGTGCAGCATTGAGGGTATGAGCTTCTTCACTGTCACTGATGACGGGACTTGTCAGTGCAGGCGACTGCGGGCGGGCGAGGACGGGGCTCGACGCGCCGGAGGAGTTGTTCCTGCTTATGCCGGGGTATCCAAGCGCGTTTGGACTGTCTGAGCGGAAGGCGGGTGGTCCCCGAGCGAACCGGTCATTCAGGTTGGTGGCAGAACGTGCCTGAGATATGGGAATAGGTGGCGTTGATCGTCCGGTTGGCGCACGTGCGCGTTGTATGGAGTTGAGACGGTTCATAGCTGAGGACTGTTGCTCTTGGATTTGCTGGTCCAGCCCTTGGTCGTAAAGTCTCCGTTTCGTTGTGGACCGGCCTAGATCTGGGGATGTCATCGGGGCACCTGCTGGGGGAAACGCCGGCGAGGAGGCTGATACAGAGTTGGTGCCCTGTGACGCTATCGAAGTCGCGGCTGTAGATGTGCGGGTGTTCAATGTGCCTGAGTTGGTGGATGACGAAGTCTCCCTCTTACGGCTGAGCTCAGTAGGGCTGGACGGCTCAGAGTTCTGGCCGTCTTCATAATCCGACTGCTGCCTCAGCCTGTCCTTCTCCTCTTGTCTGAGCCGTTGGTATGCTGACATATTAACGTCGTCGTCGTAGAGTGTCCGTCCGGTGCCCTTCGCGTTTGTATTAGAGATCATGTAGATCTTTTGTCGTCCACCGAACAAGACGTTGCCCTCGCCGGGTCTAGCTCTGCTCATAACGCTACCAGAGCCGTCGTCATCTCTACTGCTGTCGAAGGAATTGGTCCGTTCGCTTGCGAAGGGCGGTCGGATGGAGCCATTGAGCGAAGAGACTTCAGCTATATCGGAAAGACCTCCTGGAACGAAGCCGAACTCGTGGAGCCGCGATTGGCGTTTCGGTTGTAGTACACTGTCGTCGCTGGCCTTGCCAATCTTGGAGTCTGGGTCGTCCTGCTCTCTCAACATGCTGAAGCGGGTGGACAGGCCAGGCATGATTAGACTTGTCCGGAAGTCATCTGCTTTGGGCAGTGCGAAGTTGAGATCGAATTCTGGTTTGGGCTCTTCCTGACCCTTCTTGCCCTTCTTCGTCTTCTTTGGGGCGGCGGCCGCGTCCTCGGCGCCATCCTTCTTCCTGTTCAACCAGCGGTTCATGATGGTCTGGCAGTTATTAGCAAACGTATAAGTACGCCGCATTGCATCCGGAGTGGGCGAGAGGCAATGGGAGGGCGCCTTGGCAATGGGGATGGGGAGGAGTGTAGTCTTACTGGCGAAAGTGATTAGACTGGATTATAGCGACGACTGTGCGCTGACCAATCTCGACTGGAGCGTCGCTGGGGTGAGCGGGCAGGCGCACTCGAGCAAGGAGTGGGGAAGGTGAGAGCAAGGCGACTCGGGGTGGGAGGAAAGAGCAAACGCGAACATGTAGCGGGGCCAAAAACAATAATGGGGCGGTCACGGGCGGTGTTTTTCGAAAGTGTGTCCTAGGCACAGTGGAAAGTAATGTCGGCAAGAGGCGAAGGAGGGAGCGAGCTGGAGGTGAAAAGGAAGGCGTGCAGCGATTGCAGGCGGGATCGGGCGCGCTCGACTCTGGATGGCTCGGTTGGCGGCAAAAAGTACAAAACAATAGATTATGGCAAAGGTTAAGGAGCGTGTGTAGCTGGCAGCAAACAGGTGAAGGAGTGAATGCACGCGCGCTGCGGAGTGCTGGCGTGGTGGTAGAAAAGAATGCAGAGAGCAGATCTCCCGACCGAAAAGAGGCTTCGAGGAGCGGGTCGACGTGGGTATGCACTCTTTGGGCCTCTGGGGGAGTGACAAGCACTCGCACATGGGACAAGGATCAATTTCCACTAGCCTCATTTCCGCGTCGCGCATGGGCGTCGCGGTGCAGGGAGCAGAGAAGCCATAGAGCGCGGGCCAATATCCGCTCGATAGGCTGACTGAGGTCGGACGGCCAGTTGCAGTATTGCGCCGCTGAGCCCAAACCCGCGCCGTCCCAGGGGATGCGGGCGACTGGCAGCGCGACAGAGTCGACGACGATGCGTCGACGCGATCCAACGGCATTTGCTAGCGCCCTCTGCTGCCTCGCCGCTGCCTCGCAGCTCGTCAGACGTGCTCCTTCCGCGTCACACGTCGCTCCTGCCTCGTCACTCGCGTCGCAGAGTCATGCCTTCCTTTTGCAATAACAAACTTTGCCTCCCCCCACAGTCTGAAAACAACGACGCACGACCTTATGATAGCCCTTGGCCCGCCCTTTGCAGCTGCCGCAACGACAAAAAGTATCATGAACACTGCGAGGGACATCGCGCTCCGCTAGCACCCCGCCCAATCAGCGCCCTGCCCTGAGCGGTACCTTGCAGGCGTCGGGAGGGGCTGGTCCATCCCTGCATCCTCGATATCACCGCGCCCGCGACTTGCTTTTCTCGTCGCGCCACGACGCATCGTCAGCTTTGCCTCTCCGCCCGTCAGCGCTGCAGCGTCGACTCCGTCTTCTGCCCAATCACTTACCTCACACATGGGTAGCCAAAGTATGCGGGGAGACGATCCAGAAGTACCAAACGCCCATCGCGTACCTGAAGCCGCTAACCTCGGGACGTACAGTGAAGCGAGCGAATCACCCAGCTCCCTAGTCATGGTCCCGGTGGCCTTTCGCTGTGTTCCCCTGGCCTAACCGCCTGGCGCTGTCATACCTCCCCTTTCCATGTACTACGGTAAGCGCAAAACTATGCTCCAACACTCCGAAGTTCCAACATGTACTCTTGATCGACTCTCGAGGAGCAGGATTCAATTGGTCTTGTGTTTTCGCGATACGGGGCCCGGCCAGACTCGCATCCGGAGACCTGGTCCAACTGTCGTGTCATCTCCCGCGTGGCCGTCTGTCTACCGTCAGGCCGCCCCTGGCAGCTGATCCGAACGGCCATCCTTCCCCTTCTGTTCGGAACGTTGGACTCGCATCGGCAGACTAAATGCCGGCAGAGTGAATTCCTCGCCGTCGGCGAATAAGGCCAGCCGGCTGTGCTGTAATTCAGTCCTTGCTGAGCTTACTGCAGATACCTGCATCTTCTTCCTGCATACGCAACCGCTACAGTCAGTCCGAGAGCTTCTGCATACTAAGTTCTCAGCAAGTTTCAACCTGGATTCCGAAATGAATAGCCCGGGCTGGACCTAATCGATTGCATCGGTGCCACGAGGTAAGCAAATTGCCCCTCACCCGCCGCCTGCCGTTGTACGCTGAGGATGATCATCTCCAGCCCGTCCGCGAAATTGCTGTAGGATCGGCGCCACTCCAGCCCTGTGAGACAGCAGTATCTTATTCGCTAACACCGTCCCGTCACACGCGACAGGGACGCGCCCACGGTATTTACATGTATCCTGTTCAGCGCCATGTTGACAAACGCCTACGCGCTGGTACTTTTGCCCACCACTTGATCAGGTTTCAGATCTGGCCCAGGCACCGCCCTGCTAACCGACCCCACGATTGTTTCATGCTTCCGTACACATGTCCGTTGAACGCCTCACTGCGGTCCGAGCAGCCATACACACTCTTGCAAGCTCCACTACCCAAGCATCATCGCTGCAAACCAGCGCTGCCGTTATTGTGACAGCGGGTCAGGTTTATCAGGCTGTGGCCTGTCGCATGTAACGACAAACTCCAAAATCTCACCCTTCCGCATTTCTCTGGAAACTTGAACCCTTGACGAGTTTCCATATATACATAGAGTTCGTCTGAGGGGTAAGCAGTATGATCAGTCATCCGGACCTCCAGACTTGCAAGGGAAGCTGCAACTCTCGTTGGCGTCGTCGACGTCACGATCATCTTACGTATTCTCCAGTCACGAAAAACTGTTTGCTGCCAAGAACACGCGCAAAATTGACAATGCAAATTCTGCTCCGGTTCCAAGGCTCCGGCAGCATCTCGCGATCGATCCGTAGATGAATCGAAACTTCGAAAGTATATCCTTGCCGCGGAGACCGAGATGACAAAGCTGTTTAATTTCCGCCGATCATCCGGACAACACCCTTCGCTGAGCAGGGTCTTGCTGTGTCAGTGCGGAGACCTTGATTGATCACAATCTAAGTAACGCGCTCTTGTGTGTGATGATCACATGGCGTGACCGATGACAAACTGATGCCCAGAGTCCGCCGAGAGGGGTTTGGGTTATCTGGATTACAGCAGTCTACTCTATCATTCCTGTGCGGTTGAGAACTTCAAGAAAGAACGATCTCCAAGCTACGTGTATACGCTCCCGACTTCCGCTCTTCGAGCTTGCACACCAGCTCCTGCTTCAATTCGCAAATTTCATATAACCACGATACTGACCTCTCGTACGGGTTTACCAAGTTGCTTCACTCGCGGTGACCTGATATACAAACTGTCCGCGATGTATGAGGAACCCATGCTCAGTCATCTCTGTAGCCATCGCTGCCTATCGCGTTCGAGGGGAAAGCGCTGCCTCGCTGTGATTTCAATACCTCGAAGTCGATTCCAAACATCGCGGCTAGCTTGTGCCGACAGCTTTCTTTACATGTCTATCGCGGACATGACGAGCAATGAATGTTCTGACGATTTGATTTTTGAAGCTTTGTATAGTTCACACACGAGTATAACGAGCACCAATACAATGAAGAAGCAGAATACGCTGCAGTCTACATTGGTACGAAAGCCAAAGTTGGCAAGTTCTTAACGCAATGCAAGCTTATATATTACTTGTCGCTATCCTTCACTGGAAGTGGGTGATGGATAGTTTTGCTGAAATGTGGTGCGAGTTCCTACCGGCTGGTGTGGAGCTACGTCACTACAAGCTCTCACTCTCACCTTCACTACTTTGTTACCGGTTTCTCGCTTGCTGGGCCTTATTCACTCGCAAAGTTCTCGAGAGCCCGCTTTTCGGAAAGATTCCCCTTGCGTTACCCACCAATGTTCCTTACACTTCCTACCTCCACCTTTACACATCACTCGGTCTGCATTCCCTCAGATGTTGTTCGGTCACCTCTTACCCCTCGCAGCCATTGCTACTGCAGCTACAATTAAGCATAAACCAGATTCCGACTATGTCTTCAGCTGTGGTCCTCCCCTCCCCTACCTCGCCAACGGGTCGCAGGCCACGAGCTGGGCGCAGTATCTCGACGAGATTGGCGACGATCTCGACGGTGACGGCCAAGGTGCTGTGGATCATTTCGGTGGCCCCATCGGTAAGGCGCCGTTGAAATGGCCTCGCAACTCAGAAAACATTGCTGTTATCCCTTACTGCTACTTCGACGAAAAAGAACGCGAGTCGATGCACGAAGTTATCGAGGCCGCCATACAATCGTGGATGACGTACGTGTATATCCAGTGCGACCTTTGATCGTGGACTGATGAGCCCTTAGTTATCTTGGCAATCCAGGAAAGGAATCCGGTCACGCTATCAGTTTCGAAGAGTGGGTGGACAGTGAAGGAAAACCAGTGATCTGTTACAAGAAAAGCGAAACCGACTTCTTCCATTGGAACCCAGATCTACCTCACGAGACCTTGACGATCCAGGTGGGAAAGGGAGAAACCGGTTGGACGGCCAACGCAGGTCTAGCGGTTGACCAGAAGAGTCCTTGGAGGAACCAACTGAACGGCCCGGAAAGCGGTCGCCTTGTGAATGTGGAGTGGGCGGCTATGCACGAGCTGGGTCATGTCATGGGTTAGTAGTCATCTACGAGTAAGCTACCGACAAAATCTAACAAAAGGAAGGTATGGCGCACGAACATCAGCGTAGTGATCGAGACGACTATATCGTGGTCAAACCCGAGAAAATCGGCGATTTCGAAGAGGTGAGTATGACACCCATTAAGCCGCCGAAACAAACAAAACCGTTACTAACGCTAAGCAGTGTTACAAGCGCGCCCGCGAAAAGAGCTCTCGAGTAACCCGAGAAAACGTATGCACCTCACTCAGAGTAGCGCTACGCAACAATTGTGCATGCAGAAATTGGGTCAAAGGCATGGCCGAGCTCTATCTCCCTCTGTTTACCTTCGACAAATACGACTCCGAAAGCATCATGCATTATCCCAGCGCCATTGGGGGTAAACAAGAGAAGTGTGAGCTCTACAGCGGCGAGGAGGATACGGCTGAGTGCCCGATTCAACAGTACAAGAACTTTGAGGATCATAGTCAAGGGACTACAAAGATGACGCCGAACTTGCATCCGTCTGCGCAGGACATAGCGTGGGTTAAGAAGGTATATGCTTATGATGACAAGGGTGAGGCGTGAGGTGCGACGGAGTGATCGGCTGCTGTCGCAACATCTTCGACCGCTACCTGAAGATACGGGTGGTTTCGTGTGAGCAGCGGTAAGGAACCTTCCGGGTATAACGGATAAGAACGGCGAAGCTCTCACATTTGCTCTAGGTAGCAAACAATATAACTCAGAACGTACTGGATCTTTCACATTTGCTAGCCGATTCGTATCTCAGTCTATCTCACGATGGCAAAACCGACTACTAAAGCATGTTCTCTCATCAGCAACACTCAAGTAAAGCAATTGCCACTACATGTATCTCCAGGCATCTTACGCAAGATGTACAAAGTGAAAGGAAGTAACAGACAACATGCATATACCAAATGAGCAGCAACAAGCGCGTATAAACAGCATCTTACACCAAGACTAAAGCCGGAATACGTCATACGCGCCCCGTCAACACCACATCCACTACAAGGGCAAGCGTACCACCCAACCCTCCCGCATACACATACACGCTTCCCCCTAGCCCACTGTAGCCCACCCTTACCCCCAGCCGCGACGTCACCCTGCCATTAGACTGAATAGCCCCACGTTCTCAACGGCAGTAACGGTCTTCCCAAACCCTTACTCAACAACCTGCACGCTACGTAAGCCCATGCAGCTACCCGCTGCAGGTCAGCCTCAACTGCATGAGGCGGCAACCGCGTAAAACGGCTAACAGCGGGGCTATACCAAGAAATCTTAGTAGGTGTAACCAGGCCTCAACAATATGCATGATGTACCCTTTTTATGGAAGAGGGTTTATCTGTTGAGGTTATCTCGGGATGCTCGGGTGAGGGTGAGATAACGAGATAATCTTACCTACCAGGTAAGGCAGGTGGAGGCGACAACAACACTCTGACAACTCATCGTCATCATACATCGTAGTGCAGAAGGGGGTTGTTTGAACATGTTTTTGTTTGCATTACAATACATAAATCTCTTTGCGAAGCATGGACATATCTAATCTTGATGCGCCTGGGGACCCAAACACGCCGCGTAGGGAGAATAATGTTCCTTCTAGGAAGGAGATATGAACCATTTTGCCCCTTGCTCCAACTATACTACCATGCATCTAATCGTCGTGAATATTGAGGGACACCGCCCGCCGGTCTTGACACGTATATTTAACATTGCGCGATGGCGACAGAAACAGCCTGGTCGTCGGAGTGGCTGATGCTGATGTTGATGTTCTTGACACCTACGCGCTTGGCTTCTTCGTCGGCTTTGCCGTAGAGCTGTGGGGATGTTAGCGATTGATCTTGAGATTGAGTAATGATAGGAACATACCTGAACAGTTGGCGCGCCAGAGTCGTCGTTGATGATCTCGATATCCTTCAGCGGAGCACCGGCGCCTTGACCCTTGACACCAAGAGACTTGAAGACAGCCTCCTTCGCTGACCACTTGCCTGTGAAGCTAGCCTGCGGGTTTGGTGACTTCTGACAGTATGCAATCTCCTTCTCGGTGAAGTTACGCTCGATAAAGGTCTCGTTCTCGATGTTGAGCGCGCTGAGGCTCTCGACATCGACACCAACCTTGCTGTTAGAGGAAGCTGTGGCTTGAGTGAGTTGCTCAACCATCTTCATCGTCTCCTGCGCCTTCTTGTCCTTCTTGGGAGCAGGGGTCTTCGCATAGCTGTATGTCGAAGTCTTCTTGTTCATGGTGACACGCGCTTGCGGGTTGAGGAAGACCTCCTGCATCTTCTCATCCTCATACGGCGCCTTGTCCTTGGCACGGAACATGGTGTTGTTGATGAGACCATCGTGGAAGTAACGGTATGCCCTCTTTTGGCGAGCTTCAACCTTTTGCTTGTAGGCAGCAAATTGGTGGTGCTCAAGAGCGGCAAACAGGTACTTGGGGTGAATACCGATAGCTTGAGTTCCCTTCTGTCCGAAACCGAACGAAGTAACAGAGAAGGCCTTGATACCATCGGTCTGGATGGCCTGCGATGGGTAGACGATGTAGTCGTATTGCTCCATGATCTTGTCGACGTTATCGGCGTTACGGTTGCCAGGCACAAGACCAGTGTTGAGCACCTGCAAGCAACCGTTGAACATCCAGGCACCGGCAGCACCCTTGGGATGACCAGTGAGGTACTTCTGCCAGATACCAAGCAGCGCATTGCCCTTCTTACGGCCGAGGTGGCGCATCTGGTGGTTGATGACGTCGGACTCGTTCTTGTCGTTCGCAACAGTGGAGGTTCCGTGGAAAGAAGCGACGTCGAGATCGTCGATAGTGAGGCCCCAGGTAGCAAGTGCACCGCGAAGAGGAGCGATGCGTGAATCTTGCTTCCAGAAGCTGTTACCGAGACTGTTGAGCGCGTCCTTCTCTTGTCGCTTGGCTTCCATCTCGATGTTAGCAGCACGCTCCTCGAGATAGGCAGCCTCGTCGAAGTCCTCGCCAGTAGCGTCCTTCATCGCAGCGACTTCCTCCTGGAGGTAGAGGACTTCCGACTCCTGCCACTGCTTGATCTGCTTGCGGCGGAGGTCCATCTGTCTCCTCCTGTACTTGATGTCAAGAAGAGGAGATGGGAACTTGGACGGGTTCTCTCGTGCGGTGGTCAATACACCCTTTCCTGGAGCAGGGACGGAACGACCAATCTTGTCGGTTGCTGTGGCCGTGAAGCCGAGGATACCGTAGATGGGGACTCCCATATCGAGGGCGAGCTTGGCGTCCATGATGACTTGCATACCGCAACCTTGCGATTCCATGAAGCCATTTCGGGTTGTTGTGGTGGGGCGCGACATCTCCTTGGGTGTACGTCCGTGAGCGAATTCGTCTTCGGCGTTGCTAGTGGCCTTCATGTTGGCGAATTCGTAGGAGCCTTCCTCTTGGAAGTCATCGAAACCACCAACGAAGCAGACACGGGCCTTTCCTTCGACGATGGTGTCGTAACCGATATCGAGAGACTCAACAGCGGTGGCGCAAGCACCGACGGGTGTCTTGATAGGTCCAGTGGATGAGATGAGCAACATGTTAACCCAAGCGCTCATAGTGTTGATGAAAGACTCTTGCAGGATATCCTTCTGGACTGGCTTGTCCATGAATCGGTCTTTGTACATTCCTCGAAGGGCGGTAGTACCACCAATACCGGAACCGACGCAGTTACCGACTTGAGACAAGTGGACATATTGGTAGAACTCGTAGGGGTCGGTGATACCACTGGCAAGCAGACACTCAGCCGTGGAGACAAGCACGAAGAGCGTGACAGGGTCTACTTGGGAGATGATGTCGTCTGGCACACCGTACTTCTTTGCATCCCAGCCAGTCGGGATTTGACCAGCTACGAGACGGTCGAAGCGAAGAGCCTTCGGAAGGAGGAGTGTAGCTCCCTTCTTCATGCGGACAGTGTACTCGCTTGAATCCTCGATCGCAAAGATCTCAACCTTGTCGCCATGCTCCTTCTTGAACTCCTCCGCAAGTTCCTTGGAAGCCTCGAATGGATCGAGATCCTCCTCAATCTGGATCTCTTGCATAAGCTGCTTCTTCTTGGGGTCGTAGCCATTGAAGAGCTCGGGTTCGATAAGGCGGATACCGGCGTGCTCGAGAATGTACTTCTCGTACTTGGGCTTGACATCCTTGTCATCGATTGGCTCGTTGGTCTTGGCGTCAACCCATCCGGAGTAGCTCTTGCCCTTGAGAGGACCGTTGTGGTTCTTGATGAGACCCATGATCCAAGCCATCTCGACACATCCCTCAATGGAGAATTCGCCGTACGCTTCCATCTCCCAGCGTGTCCTGGAGTTACCCCAAGGACCGACTTCAGAGAAACCAGTGACGACGACGACCTTCTCAAGATCGACCATACCCTTGAGGTTATCGTTGAGAGGCTTGACCTCTGTGTCCCAATCAGGTAGGGTGGGGAAGTCGAACTTCATGTTTGCACGTGGTTCGATCGTGGCCTTCTTGTATAGGGCCTCGCTGGCCTCGCCGTTGACAACCTTGTTCTCGATGGCATTCTCCTTGATGACGGCACGGCGGATATCGCTAGTCTCTGTGAGTTCCTTGCGCAAGTCGGTCATCAAGTCCTTCAGGTTAGGAATGTACTGGAAGCCGCCGTTGAGGTCAGCCCATACAGGCTCGACCTGGCAGAGGTTGACGATCGGTGGCGCCATCAGACCAAGTAAGTTGAAGGCCATCTCCTGCTGAGAGAAGGTGCGTACACCGTACTTCTCGATACCCTCAGCGACAATGTTGTTGGCGCCCATCAAACCAGTGCCGCGAGTCCAGCCGATGACCGCACCACAGATAGTGAGGTAGTTACCCCAGCTCTCTGAGTGCCACCTCGAGAAGAGTGTCTCGAGCGACATCTTGGACTCTGAGTAAAGACCATCGTTACCGAAGGTTCCGTGGTTGGGTGACAACGGCAGGATGACTTGTGCTGGGCGGGTCTCGTAGCCGTAGGCCTGCTTTTGCTTCTTGACAGCTCCGAGCATGCGCAACAAGTTGGTCAACATGATGCGGTGAGCGAGCTCCGACTTGGAGTCGATGCTGTCAATCTCGCGTCCGTTCTCAGGAATAGCAGCAAAAGGAACGATAAGGTCGAGATCCCATCCAAGGCCCTTCTTGGTGTCGAAGATGTAGTCGACCAAAGCCTCTACATCTTGGTTGCTGCCCTGGTTGAAAGGCACAACAATGAGCTGAGAGCCGCGGGCGCCATATCGCGAGTACATGGACTGGTAGTACTCGGTGACCTCCCGGGAGAACCTGGAAGTTGTGACGACGACCTTAGCACCACCACTGATGAGGCCCTGAAGGACTTGCGCGCCGATAGAGCCGGCACCAGCGCCCGTCATAAGAGCGTACTTGCCCTGGAAAGTGACACCAGACTTGGCGGCATCCTCTAGGCAGTCCAGGTAAACGCCAGTCAGCTTCTTGCTGTACTCCCAGCCATGGTCATCCTTGCGCTTGAGATGTAGGAAGGGGATAGTCTCAACCTTGCCCTGCTTAGCAGAGGGATTGACGCGACCGTTGCGACCCCTCTTGCCGC